TTAGAAACACATGCATGAAAGAAAAAAACATTAAAATACACATCTAACGGTTCATTTTCCTGACATCATAGTGAATAAATGTATGCTTTTATATAGTCTTTCACTTGTTCTTTTTTTACATGAGTTATTAGAAATAATTATAGTTAGAGCCAGACATGTGAAGCCCATCTATAATCTCTGAACTTGGGAGAGTGAGGCAGGAGATAAAAAGTTCTGAAGCTAACCTGTCTACATAGTTAGTTTGAAGTCAACCTAATTTACATGGGAAGACTGTCAAAACAAAATAAAACAAAATGATAATTAGACCTAATAAGCTATTCCCAGATAGCAGCCTTAGACTATCATCTTTTGATAAGCTGACTTCAAATCTGTTGTGATTCTTAGTATACATAATCTTTAGTTAACATAGTTGAATTAAGAGGCAGAAAGTATATGTATATAGCTCAGTAATAAAGCACTTGGTCTAGTATTCACAAGACTCTTGGTTTGTTCAGTACTGCCAGAATAATTGCTGAATTGAAAGTAAGAAAAGTTACATAAATATCTTATAAAATGATTTATTGTGGGTTTTTTTTTAATTTTACCTTGGATTTGAAGTTTTGCACTTCTTAATATTCCCCCCAAACTCACAGTCTAATTTAATTCAGATTATCACTGAGTCAGAAAAAAATAAAAAATTGAACTACTTGATCATGAAAATATCTTTAAGCTTGGAGCTATTATTAAGTATAGAGAAAATGAAAAGCATTTACTAAAATGATTTTCTGTATGACTATTTGATGTTTTGATACTTTGTTTCCATTGATGACTTTTTTCTTAGATAACAACACTGAAGTATAATTTGCATACTATACAATTCACCTATTTAAATTGTACAATTCAGGGCATGCTTAGAGTATTTGGCTAGTATGTATCGTACCGAGTTTGGTACTCAGCACAGATATAAAGAACTAACTAAACATTATTCAATTAATGTTAGTATACTCACATTTATTTATTGTTACCACAGTCTACCACTTGAGCCACAGCCCCACTTACAGCTTTTTTTTTCTTCTTATGTGGTGCTGAGGGATCGAACCCAGGGCCTCATGCATGCAAGGCAAGCACTCTACCACTGAGCCACCTTCCCAGCCCTTTTTATTTTCTTGATGATGTGCTTTGTAACATAAATGTAATTATAACAACTTTCTTATTATTTACCTTTTTTTCTGTGCTGGGATTCCAACCCAGAGCCTCTTACATGTTAGGTAGGTAGTCTCCTACTGAGCCACATCCCTAGTTCTCAGTTGTCTTTTTAGGAAAGTCTGGAAAAGCTATATTAAACATACTATTGCTACATTAAGAACTCAGCTTGAGCCAGGCGCTGGTGGCTCATACCTGTAATCCTCGCTACTCAGGAGGCTGAGATCTGAGGATCACGGTTCAAAGCCAGCCTAGACAAGAAAGTCTGTGAGACTCTTGCCTCCAGTAAACCACTAGAAAATCGGAAGTGGCACTGTGGCTGAAGTAGTAGAGTGCTAGCTTTGAGCTGAAGAGCTCAGGGACAGTGTGCCTCAAGCCCCATGACCAACCAAAAAAAAAAAATTAAAAGGAACTCAGCATTGTAATGAGGTAATTTTTGACAAGAAAAGTGTACTTTAGGCATGACAGTCATTGAATGTTGGTGCATGTTGTATTAAAGTGACTTTTTTGTGACCAACACAAAGCTTGACCTCGGGCAAGTAGCTAGGATTACAAGCCTAAGCCACTGGTGCTCAGCCATGGCAATGTTTTAAAGTAAAAATTGGAGTTAGGTGTATAACTCAGTGATAGAGCTTTTGTCTAGCATGTATGTAATCTTTTTTTCTTTTTTTTCTTTTTGGCCAGTCCTAGGGCTTGAACTCAGGGTCTGGGCACTGTCCCTGAGCTGCTTTTGCTCAAGGCTAGCACTCTACCACTTTAGCCATAGTACCACTTACAACTTTTTCTGAATATATGGTACGGAGGAATCAAACCCAGGGCTTCATGTGCTCTAGGCAAGCACTCTACCACTAAGCCACATTCCCATCCCTGATGTATGTAGTCTTGGATTCAATTACCAACACTTCAAAAAGTTTTTTAAAAATCCTAAGGTAAAAACACATATAATATGAAAAGTTATAGAGTGCACTTAATGTATTTTAAACATTTAATTATTTTTATTTTCTATGCCTAATTCCATAGCATTGTTTCCTACAGAAAACTAATATGAAACTGGGTGCCAGTGGCTCTTACCAATAATTCTAGCTACTCAAGAGGCTGAGATTTGAGGATAGAGGTTCAAAGTCTGTCTGAACAAATTCTCAAGACTCTTATCTCCAGTTAGCTAGCAAAATGCTGGAAATAATCAAGTAACTCCTGTGACTCAAGTGGTAGAATGCTGGCCATTAGCAAAAAGTCAAGCAAGAGTACAAGGTTCTAAGCTTAAACCCTTAGTTCCTACAGGGGGGAAAAAAAGGAAACCCCTAATCTTTGGCCTTAGATATAGCAGTCAACATACCTGATAGCTTTGTTAATATAGTCTATATTTTCTCTAATAACACTGAAAGAACTATGAAAGACAAAATACTTAAACGATAATCAAGCATTGGTAGCTCATGCCTATAATCCAAACTTACTCAGGAGACTGAGATCTGAGGATTTCCAGTTTGAGCAGGAAAGTTCCTGAGACTCTTATCTCTAACCAACTACAAAAACAAAAAAAAAAAGCTGAAGTGGTGCTGTAGCTCAGGTGAAGTGCTAGCTTTCAGGGAGAACACCCAAACCCTAAGTTCAAGTCCTGGAACTGGCACACACAAAAAAAAAATGTTTAAAAGATGGAACTGATGAAAAGATATCTTTTGAATTGATATTTGAGAGTTCTAGTGCCTGAAATCCTTACTCTAATGTGAATAAATTTCCTCCATTTGTAACTAAAAGCATTTAGATTGTGCTAGAATTTTTATACAAATTACTCATTCAAATTTTGGTTATAAAAAGAAGAAAATAAAGTATAAACATACAAATATTTATATTGCTATGTTATTCCTGTAGTTTTATTCTATCTCAGCTGCAAAGTAAAATATAATGTATTGATGGGTTTTATTTTGCCATACTAGCTCCTCAAGAGTTACTGATCCATGAAATGGCAGAGAATGGAAAAAATTGTGACCAGAGACGTGTAGCAATGAACAAGGAACAGCATAATGGAAATTTTACAGGTAAAGTCTAGATGGCAGCAATAACAAAATCTTTTTCTTTCAGGATTGGGATTTGAACTCAGAGCCTCTTTGCTAGCCAGGCAGTATGCCTCTAAGCCATTTCCCTACCTTGTCCTCATTGTGCTCTGGTTATTTTAAGATAGGGTTTTATTTCCTCCCTAGGCACATCCCTAGATCATCATATAGAAGATGACAGGATCTCATGAGCTTTTCTTCCTACGGTGTCATCAAATCTCAGTTTTCCTGACCACAAGTGTCTAGGATTATCAGCATGAGCCATCAGAGTTAACCAATAATAACAAATCATAGGTAGGGTCTTACTAAATGTCCAACTCTTCTGAGAATTTTACATATATTAACTTACTTAATCCTTATACTAACCCTGAAAACTAGGTACTTGTTATCTTCCACTTTACAGAAGAGAAAACTGAAGCACAGCAATGTTCACTAACTTGTTCAAGATCACATAAATGGTACCTGGCTGCCAGGCACTGGTGGTTCATGCCTGTAATTCTAGCTACTCAGGAGGCTGAGATCTAAGGATCAGGCCCAGGTCCTGAATTCAAGCTGCAGGACTGGCACCAAAAAAGATACCTGGCAGAGCCTGGATTTGGAACTAAGTAGTGTGCCTTCACATTTTGAGATCTAAACTATGGTATGATCTGTAGTATGATGTTAAATTCAAATAATACCTTTTATAGAAAGAAGGTAGACCAATTTAGACCTCCAGTAACATAAAAGAGTAGAACCTGTGTTCTGACAGTAAAATAATCACCAGAATAATGTTAAGATTGGGCAGAAGCACTTAGTCCACACTTGCTCTTTCCTAAAAATCTGTTGTTCAACGCTGCTGAAATTTTTGGTATTATTAATTTTGGACACTTTCTCCCCAGAGGTTTTTTTAATCTGTCAGAAGGAGGAACTGGCAAAGGAAAGCCTGGTGGGTTTTTGTTTTGTTTTGGGAGAGTGGCAGGGGTCCTTAAACTTTGTAGCCTCAGTTGTTCTCTTAACACTGATTTAAAAGTGATAGCTATAGTTTGGGGGTGAAATTCAGTGGTAGAATACGTGTATAGCATACATGTGGACCCAGATTCAATCCCTAGCATCAAAATAAGAGTAGTAATTATGATTATGCATTTCCTTTCTGAACTAGTAGGTATTGATGCGTCTGGACTAGTTGCTGTTTTTCAAGATTAAAGGACTTAACTTTAATGGTTACCCAGGATATGGGTACATCTCTCTTAAGCACTCATACATCGTACCACCCCTCTCCAAGACATGAGAAAAGAATTCATTCAATAGAAATCATATTTCTACTAACAGGGTAGAGACAGGCAAATGTAAAGGCAAATACCACTGAGGCTTAAGTTACAAGAATCGATCACAAATCTTGGCTTTGTGTTGTAGAGTTTAGATACGCTTACACTGGACCACTTTTGTTCATTAGTATTGTGTTCCAAAGGTTGCCTCCTCTACAGAAGGGGTGATCTCAGCTTAGTTGTTGTTTGTTTTTATTCGGTTTTTTGTTGTTGTTGTTGTTATTGGTAGTAGGACTTGAACTCAAGGTCTGGATCCTCTCCCTTGCTTTTTCTGCTCTAGGCTGGCACTGTATCACTTGAGCTACAGCTTCACTTCCAGCTTTTCTGTGGTTAATTGAAGATAAGGAGTCTCAGGGACTTTCCTACTGACTTCAAACTGTAATCCTCAAATCTCAGCCAGAAATTCTGAGTAGCTAGTATTACAGGTGTGTGCCACCAGTGCCAGTTTACCTTAGTTCTTGCTGTTTAAACTTTCATGACCTACATGTGACTCATGCTTCTGCTTTTGAGGTTTTATATGTAGTCTTTCAAGTATAGGATAGGAAGATGGATGAATTCATAATTAGTTTGAAAAAGAGTGCTAAGAATTCCATTTCAACATTTCTGCTAATATTTTTCAGATCCCTCAACAGTGAATGAAAAGAAGAGGAGGGATCGAGAAGAAAGACAAAATATTGTCCTATGGAGACAGCCACTCATTACCTTGCAGTATTTTTCTTTGGAAACTCTTGTAATCTTGAAGGAATGGACCTCAAAGTAAAGAATCTTTTTTTCTTTTTTTTTTATAAACCTATTGTCTAAGTTAAGAAGTCCTCATCATCTCCTGCTCCCTGCCAACTGCTTCCTCAAAGTAGATTAAGTTTAGAATATTATCATAAGAACATATTTATTTTCTTTCCTATATTTTGAAAAAAAACAGATTAGGGAATTTTGTTCAAAGAAAAATAGATGAGGCTATATGTTGGAATTTGTTTAGTGGACTTTTATAGTTTTCTACTGTCTAATGTTGAATCTTTCAAGGGAAAATATGATAGTAATTTTCCTCCTGATTTTGCCCTCAACAGAAATCAGGCTTGTACACATTAGATACACTGAGTCTATCGCAGGACAAGGTTCAGGATACGTGGCAGTTTACTGATAGATTGAACCAATGAAGAAGGACTCTACCATGATAATGTCTTCTGTCTTTAAACTTAGTACTTATAAACCCTGTTTCAGATATCATAAGCAAGTTGAACTTTACACATCCTATAATTTTCTTGCTTGCCTTCCAAGTTATCTGTACTACTACCACACAAAGTTATCTATATTATTATCATATACTTTTATTGTACTTAAGTTTTATAAAATATTTTAAAACATGTTCAGCTCATTTAGGAACAACATGAAGAACCAAAATAAGTATAGGTTAGGTTAATAGAATAGGTTAAGTGTCTTGAACTTGCTAAAAGCACTAAAGATTTCTGGCTCAGTGCCTCTGACTGAATGTCAGTGCTGTTTCATTTACAATTTAAAATGTAGACAAGATTAGACTTGGAAAACGGCTATAATGGGGTTTATGGTAGAATAGGTTCTACGCTCAGAAGTCTTTCTTTGAATCCTTCCTTTATCCCCAAGTCTGCTTTAATAATTATGTTGAGAATGGTGGTTGGTTCTTCAAAGTGAGATAAATGTGAGATTTTATTTTTATTCTTTAATTTGTTTTTTAAGATTATGGCATCGTCAAAGCCTTGTGGTGTCTTTTTTACTGCTGCTTGCTGTGCTCATAGCTACGTATTATGTTGAAGGAGCACATCAACAGGTAAGAGATTTAGCAAGTTTTTTTCTAGTCTTACACATTCTGTTGACCCCAGAAAGTTTCAGAATGAAATAAATGCGTTATAGATTTTTCTATAATCAACATTTTAAGAATTAGGTTTGTATTTTTAATTTCTCATAACTGATACCTTAATTTTTTTTCACTGTACCAGGACTTGAACTCAGGGGCTTGTGCTTGTTAGGCAAGCATTCTCCTATTAAGCCATGCTTTATGTGTTTTTCTTTTGTTGTTGTTATTATTTTCTTTTTTTACCAGTCATGACCTGGGGCACTGCCCCTGAGCTTTTTTTGCTCAAAGGTAGTGCTCTGCCACTTGAGCTACAGCTTCACTTCTGGCTTTTTGTTGGCTAATTGGTGGTAAGAGTCTCACAGACCTGTCCTTCCTGGGCTGACTTTGAACCATGAGCCTCAGATCTCAGCCTCCTGAGTAACTAGGATTATAGGAGTGAGCCAGGGTCCCAGGGTTAATACCTTTTAAAACCATTCAGTCAAAGCAGCATAAATCCTTTCATCTCTACCAAAGTCTTAATTATCTGGCTTTTGCTTTGATCCACCTGCTTTAGGTTTCTCAGCATTGCTGGGGTCACAGGTTCAAACTAATGTGTCCAGCTTCACTCCATGGAACAGTCTCACAGAGTTTTTCTATCTAATCTGGCCTGATCTCAGCCTCCCACCTACCTTAGGAATGATAGGTGCACACGGCTGTGCCTAGCTATCAATGGGGAATGGGCTTCACTAACTTTTCTGCCCCATCTGACCTCAAACCACAATCCTTTCATTCTTAGCTTTTCAAATAGCTAGAATTAAGCCACTAGAGTAAGCCACTTTAACACCCAAGTTACACTATACCTTGTATGATATATTCAAATAGATGGGACTTGTCCTGAGTTGAGGGTTAGGTTTTATTTGTATGAAAAATTAAGTTCTCTTGCTTGAAGTCTATAAATGTATTCGTAATGGAAAAATAGGAAATTGTTACTACCTTACATTAAATAAACAAACATTATTAATCTGCTATAAGAAGAAATGCTTCTAAAGTGGTAATTGTTTTATATTTGAAGCAATTTACTTTTGGGGTTTTATAGGTTTTTGTTTTTGTTTTGTTTTTAATGTCCGGTCGTGGGGCCTGAACTCTGGGCCTGGGCGCTGTCCCTCAGCTCTTCAGCTCAAGGCTAGCTCTCTACCACTTGAGCCACAGTGCCACTCCCAGCTTTTTTCTTTTTGCTTATGTGGTGCTGAGGAATTGAACCCAGGGCCTCGAGCATGCAAGGCAAACGCTCTACTACTGAGCCACCTTCCCAGCCCCGGGTTTTATAGTTTTATATGCATTTCAAGTACAATGCATCTAGATTGATGTCACCCCTTCTATCATTCTTCCACATCTTTCCAAATCCCACCCCTTCCTTTTAAATAATTTTTATGCATTTACTAAGAATTTGCGATGAAATAGCTTTCTGAGTATCCTTACCCAAACTGGAAAACTTCTCTAGAAATAAGTCTATATTTCTTCAACAAGTTTCTCACTAGACTTCATTTTGCTCTTTTGGAAAACATACTGGTCTTAAATATACAAAATTTTTTTACTGAAAAAATGTATTAGATTCACAAATATTATATAATCACCCCTTTCCTACTACTATATATTTTGTTACATAAAATTTTGTAAGTTGTAGATAGCTCCAAATTTTTAATTCTTTTTTTTTTTTTTTTTTTTTTGTCGATCATGGGGCTTGAAGTCAATGCCTGGGCACTGTCCCTGGACCTTTATGCTCAAGGTTAATGCTCTACCACATTGAGCCACAGTTCTACTTCCAGTTTTGTTTGGGTTGGTTTGGTGGTTTATTTGGACTTTCCTGCCTGAACCAAAATCCTCAGATCTCCTCATCCTGAGTAGCTAGAATTACACGTGTGAGCCACTAGGACCCGACTTTTCAGTCTTATAATACCTTAACCTTACTTTGCTGTTTTGCTATTGCTATATCAGCTTTATTTCAGGTATATATAATTTCCCCTCATCTTGCTGTCTTATACTAAAATATTAGGCTTCTTTGTAAAGATTTTATTCTTAATACTTTCTCCCTAATTGAAACTTATTTTAACAGTTTGTTTAATTTTGTCAATAGTATGTACATATCACATGGCTGCGTAAATATCTGTTTTTTATCTCATCCCTTTTGTTTTTCAGTATGTGCAACGTATAGAGAAACAGTTCCTTTTGTATGCCTATTGGATAGGCTTGGGGATTTTGTCCTCTGTTGGGCTTGGAACAGGGCTGCATACCTTTCTGCTTTATCTGGTAAGAACTTTAATGAACAAAAAAGATTTTTCTTCTTATTGAGGCTTTTACTTCAGAAGTTAAAATCTTAGGATTGTGTTTTGCAAGCATCCAGATCCTCAAATCATTACTTTAAATTTTAATTGTTACTGTAAAGGTGGTGTACCAAGGGGTTACAGTTACATAAGTCAGGTAATGAGTGCATTTCTTTTTGGACAGTGTCACCCCTTCCCTTCCTCTCTTCCAGTTTCTTATCATTACTTTTAAGTTTGGTTTGGAATTTGTGTGGCTTTCCTGAGGATTTAAAAAGAGACAAGAAAAATAACCAGTTAAACAAATAATGTTATAAATTTAAATTAGTCAGGAACATTTTCTGCCCTCCAGATTTTGAGTAATGATTCTGTTGCTTATACAATTATTATTTTAGTAGTTGAAATTAATGTTAAGTATACAAAATTACATGTAAGGTTTATAATTTGTACACTTGTTCATCTATTGTTCATCAAAAGAGATTTGGGTCCACAGATGCCACACATGCACTGGGATGGGTATTTTGGTATTCTTTTATTTTGTTTTTTGTTTCACTACTGGGAATTGAACTCAGAGTCTTACATATGACAGCCTTGTGCTCTACCATTGAATGACACATTTCTAGCTGATAGTTTCATAGTTCATTGCTAATTGGACCTAGAGGTTAGTCGGTTTGTTCTGCTAATTTTATAATTTTATAGTTGGTTTGTTGGATTCATTTGTTCATTCATTCATTTATCTATTTTGTTTGTTTGTTTTTGTGGTTCTGGAGTTTGAACTCAGGCTTCACACTTGTAAATTCTGGTAATTTTAATGTTTAGTAAATGGGCTTCAGAATATCTGTAAATCTCAAAACACTAGACTTGACTAGTATGTCTTTAAGTACAACAATTTTTTTCTGGCAAACAATTAAAAAGGAATTGATAGCATTTGTCACATTCTGTAAAGTACTGTAATCAATTATTTTTAAAAAGGCTCTTCTGAAACTGTTTTGAACTGCGCCTATATTTGGCCACCACTAGGTGGCATTGCTAGTACAAACAATACATTGTACTATATTTGCAGGTTCTGTTTTGGATAAATATATATTTAGAGCAACTTCAGTGAAAAACAGAATGGCTCTACTTAGCTTATAGACATATTCTATTATTTTCATATTTATGCCTATTAATTTTGTCAATATAAGATCAATTAGTACATGTGAGTGAAAATACTTTTCTTAATAGTTTTCTACATGTATTCATTAGTTCAGCAGTTACCACCCTTTTACCATTGTGACCTACATATTTACATGTAGGATATAACTCCCATAGCATGCCCAGTGTCAGGTTCAGTGGTAAGAATAGTTCCATCTTTTCATTAATATTCGAGAATATGCTGGGCTGGGAATGTAGCTCCACGGTAGAGAACTTGCCTAGCAAGTACAAAGCCCAGAATTTGATTCCTAGCACTGGAAAAACAAATAAAAAATATGCAAGCAGTGCATTAGTGGCTCACATTACTACTAACCAGTAGTCCTAGCTACTCAGTAAGCTAAGATGGAGAGGATCAAAGGAAGCCTGGGCACAAAAGACTGAGAAACTCCAACTCCAGAGTGACAAGTAAAAAGTCAGGCTGAGCCAGGCAGGTGCTGGTGGCTCACGCCTGTAATCCTAACTACTCAGGAGGCTGAGATTTGAAGATTGCCCTTCAAAGCCAGCTCAGGCAGTAAAGTCCATGAGACTCTTATCTCCAATTAACCACCAGAATACTGGAAGTGGTGCTGTGACGCAGGTGGTAAAGCACTAGCCTTGAGCTGAAGAACTCAGGGACAGTGCCTGGCTTCAAGCCCCACAACCACCAAAAATAAGGTCAGGCTGGAAGCATGACTCAAGTACTAGAGTGCCAGCCAGGCAAGCTAGCTCAGCAAGCAAAATGCCCTGAGCTCAAACTTTGGTACTGGGGAGGGGGAATGTATATACACACACATGTACACATATATATACAGATTCCTATCATGAGAGGATGTAGAGAATATTTAGATTATTGAGAATATTCATAAAATAGCTGGGTTGGAATGTATTCCAGTATTAATAGCTGTATAATATTTGGCAAATATCTTAACATTTAAACCCAGTTTATTAACAATAAATGGAAGTGATAATAATAGCACCTATCTCCAAAGGCTAGTTACAGGAATAAATGAAATAGTGCATTTTTATTACTCAGCATAGTACCTAGTACATATAAGATTGACAGTATGTGGTTGTATCATTGCTCTTACAATAATTTTTTAAGCAAGCAATAATTTTCAATTTCTGTGCTTTAGCTCTTACTCTAAAAATGACCATTTCTTTTTTTTTGGGGGGGGGTCCGGTCGTGGGGCCTGAAC